CCACATAGGGAAACTAACAAGTTCGCGCCTCTGGGCTCTGAAACCGCCGAGCTCGTCCTCTCTTGCTTCCTAGCAACGTCGACAGCAGCCGTACATCGTATTGTACCTAGTATCATCCGTAAACTCGGTATTCTAAGCGCCTCCGGCCGTCTTCCATAGAGCGAATCGCCCGTGCGACTCCAACCACATAGAACACGCGCTGTGCTGCCCTGTTGGCTCGGCCGTACTTGGCGATATATATATAAAAAACGTATATAGGGTGACGAACAGCACACGGTATCAGATCTTGTGGGGCACGCCCAAGGGAGGAACAGCGACATGAGCTCGACCACAGCATTAGCCGTGAGGCTCCTGACGCTTGCCGCCATACTCGGAGCTTTACCCGCAGTGCTTGCTCACGGCGACGACGAAGGCGGAATGGATATGGACATGGGGACCGAGGAACCGAAACCGGACGAAGACTCGTACCCCCCTACATACTTTTCGCATCCCGAGCACCAGGCGGTCATATACGCGCACATCGCATTGATGGTGATAGGGTGGATTTTCGTGCTACCAACGGGTAAGAAACACTGACCGAAACCTTCAGCTACCTTGTGCGCTGCTGCTAACAAACACGAAAACAGCCGTCATGTTCTCCCTGGCGCGATCACGATACACGCTTGCGATCCAATTCGTCTTCCTGGTACTGAATGCGCTCGGGGTTCTAGTAGGAATCAGTTACAATGCCAATACCCCTGACCTCTACCCCAACAATGCGCACCACAAGCTGGGCTGGATCGTTACTTGGGTTGTGAGCGCGCAGGTGTTCATCAGCCTCGTAGGGCGTGTGGCGGGTGTTATGGGTGGCCAGTCTGCCAGACATTCCAGCCAGGAGGAACAACAGGCGTTCATCCCGGTCTCGACGCAGGCCATGGCTGAGCACCATCGCCTGAACAATGATGATCACTACCCCGACCCCTACCGTCATTCCAACGACAGCGGACAGGGAACTGAGCCCAATACCGAATCACTGCGAAGCAACTCCCTCTCGACTACCACTGTTGACCACGAGTCGCCGATCGAATCGGCCGGCCGGAGAAGGGATTATGAGGACGATGAAGACGATCTCGCTTTCAAGCCGGCCGAGATGCTCCCTCCCAGCGGCCCAGAGTCGTTGGTAGCCAAATTTGCTGGTAAAATCTCAACTAGAGCATGGAAGATGCTCAAGTTCGCCTACGACTTTGTTGACAGGACAATTCTCGTATTGGGCTATATTACTCTGTGCACCGGCATCATTACCTTCGCCCGATTCTTCGTAAGTTTATCCTATGTAGCGCTCCAGTCTCTCCCGGCAATCTGATTAACAGCTCATCTCAGGAAGGACGAGAGGTTTTCAGCGGACTCGCGCACTGGATAAAAGGTGGCATCTTCTTTTGGTATGGTATCCTGACTTTGGGAAGATGGTCTGGAAGCTTTGGAGAACTCGGCTGGGTAAGATCACTAGGGATATGTCCTTCGCGGTGCTCCGGTGAGCTCTCACTAATGTGAATTTCAGGCATGGAACGTACGACCAAAGCAAAGCTCGCAGAAATGGAGACCTACAGCCGAGTTCGTCGAGGGTGCGCTCATCTTCACGTACGGCTCTACCAACGTCTTCCTCGAGCATCTTGGCAGCACCGAGTCCACCTTCAGCTCCCAGGACTTGGAGCATATGTCCATTACCATTCTCTTCATCGGAGGTGGCCTGGTGAGTCGTTCTAGACACGAGAATACCGTCATGAGCCTGGTCAAACTAACGGCGCATGGCAGCTGGCAATGCTGATTGAATCTACGCGCATCCGTGATCTGCTCAACACCACAGTCACTGAAGCGGCTCTAAATCACCCGAGTCATACTTACAGCGAGGCAGAGCGCGAGACTCTGGAGACACCAAAGCAATACGAGTTCTCCATCAATCCCATACCAGCCTTGGTTATCCTGCTACTCGGAATCATGATGAGCTCGCACACGCAGCAGACTATGGTTTCCAGCATGGTACACAAGCAGTGGGGCAACCTTCTGACCGGAGCATCGTTCGCGCGAGGCTTTACATACGTGCTGCTGTATCTTAAGCCGCCGCGATCCATCCTCCCCTCTCGGCCGCCGACTGAGCTGCTCACCGCATTCGGCCTGATCGCAGGAGGCACCATCTTCATGGCCAGCGTAAGAATATCACCCAATATTTTGCCACCGCAGGCATCTGTGCTGACCATGATATCTAGAGCGGCGATACCATCCATGGCATGATCCACTATGACCTAGACGCCATGTTCTTCTACACGGTCACCATGGGTCTGGTCGGTCTTCTCATGGCCTGGATCGTCATCGTCTTGGCCCTCAAGGGCTGGGCCGTACGCAGGGAGTCCGGACGGTCCCCCAAGGCGTGGTCACTGTCGCGCGTATAAACGAACTGGTCAGTAGCACACGAGACCAGAAGCGGAAAAACAAAACCGGGTCTCGCAGGAACACGAAGCGGGACTTTGACGACAACAGCATTGGGCGGACGGACAGATATCTGTCGTCCGTCCCTCAAAGCATTCAAGTCTCCCCCACCGGGAGCGGGGACGGTTGGTTTTACCATGATTAATTGATACCCGGGCATCGTTTTCCGGCGTAATGAAATGACAACGAGAACGAGAAAAGACGGAGATGGATGATTCAAAAAGAACAAGTCGACAAACGTTTTCAAAAATACCCCCCTCCTCTTTTTTCCCTTCTTCCCCCCTCTTTCTTTGGCAAAGCGTGCTTTACCTTGGTACGGGACGACTTTTGCTTGCCTGCTTACTTTGCTTTACTCCCTCGATTCTTCATCCTCATCTTTACCATTTCTTAATTGCATTCTGGACTTTCATTATCGTCAAAAGTGATACCCCTAGGGAACGATGGACGGCATGGGAAAGGAGAGACTCTTGTTATACTTATCTATATCATATATACTTATAACGTTATACGGTACTGAGATTGGATTGGGTCTGGTTGGAACTGAGGGTTGGATATGATGATGCGCTGGATGGTGGTGGTAGTGGTGGTGGCGGTGGGGGCCTTTCATCCCGGTGGCTCTTTATCATACTAAATGGGTATTTGTTGGGCTGCCCGGCTTCCTCTTGGTTGACTGACGATCACTTACTGGGTAGATAGACTCGCAAATCATGGGGCGATCGGTAGTGAATAGCGAAGGGGACGGGGGAGAGGTTGTCATGATGGTTTGGATTGTCGTTGTTTACAGAGATAACCCTAGCAGACAACTCCTCCAGTCTCGTAAGCTGGTACCATGAATCTCTAGCTGCTTTGGTGGTTTATGGAATACCTGATTTATTCCCAAGTAGGGGGTCCCTGGATCAATTTGCAATATGCGAAGCAGTGATCATGACTATCAACGGGCTGCGCAGGAGTCTGGTCCTGTTTATTAGACGAGGTTTCCCCCCCTATCTTATTATGCTGTTCCTGGCATTTGACATCAGGCCCGCTGTCACTTGTTGTATCTATCTAGTCTTGTGCTGATCGACGCGAGATCGCCTTTCGACTACTAACCTACCCACAGGAGAACGTGATCAGGACCATCATGGCCTTGCTGGCTGGCTCAAGATGGGATGCTAACCTACCTAGGTCGTCTGACAGTTTAGGATCGAAATCTACTAAGTAAGTCTGTCTGTCTGTCTGTCTGACTGACTGACTGACGTTCTCATAAGCCGGATATTCGCAATAAATACACTTCGTCCGAACAGACTCCTCCCCCTATTCGTCCTTATCCCCAGAAGGTGTTGTTGTTGTAGGAGGATCCTGAATGAAATTATCAGAATTGGAATTTTGGTCCGAAGTTTTTCGAAAAATCATGTTAATTTCTTAGGGAATATTACTCTCTGGAAGATAGATAGACAGATAGATGGAAAGCTGCTCGTCAGTCTATCCAATTTACCCCTATCTTGCTTCATGCGAACAACCCACTGTGTGTGTGTGTTTGTGTGTGTGTGTGTGTGTGAGAGGTTCTTCGTCAGGGCTGCGACCAATGTTGTGCCATGGAGTGTGTGTGTGGCCCTGAACCGTGTTCTCTGCGCCTCCTAGGCATGATGATACTGGGAGCAGGAGGCGAGCTGTGCCTGTGGGGTGATAGTTGGCTTGCGTACGACTGTCGAGACTGGGCTGATGGTTGTTGACCTTAGAGGGTGGTGAGGATTAGGAATGGTCTGTTTTCTCAATGTGGTACCCGACCGGCCGTTCTGGGGCCATCTCGTAAGAGGCTGATCTGAACCAAGGCAGGAGGTTCGAGATGGTGATACTGTCGCAAGGGCCACTGAGCCATGAAGGGGGTATCGGCCGGTCGAGGAGGCAGCCAAAGACAGTAGACAAATACCATGGTTGTTTGCCTACGAGACTTGAATGTAGACTGATAATACTGATCAGATGAATGCACTATACCTTCAATCATGATCGATAGGTCTCTTGTGCATGCTATTTCGTGTGCGACTGAGACCGAGGGAGCTTCGTAAGCAATCAAGTCTCGGGGCTGTGTGACCTGAACGGGATTCGTCCATATAACCACATATTTGTTCATACCAATCTTCAGCTATTTCGTTTATGTACCAATGTTAGTAAAAGAGTAGTCAAAGCAGGTAGATGTTTATCTATTACGATCATGGGCGCATAACCCGTATAGCTACGGTTCTTTCCTTCTGGATGTGCAGCCAAGTCGACAAACGCACCCCGGATGCCTTCTCTTGTGCAAGGCAATGCGTATCTGGGATACCTAGGTGCTAATCTAGGTGCTGAACAGTGAAAGATTCAAATGCCCATATCCACTGGTTCCGATTTGGCGAATAGCTCGTGTTCTCTTAATGAAGATTAGCCAACTGACGGCTGCTCTCTTTGGAACTTGGGCGATCTGCTGGGAGCTGCGGAAAAATAGCGGTTCCTTAGTTTCCCCACAAGCACCTGGCCAAAAACTGTATATACTGTTTGATAAGCCCAATTTTTTCATCACAGACAACTTGCCAGAGTGGTTAATGGGTAAGACTTGAAACTCAGCTCCGATGTTTCAGCTATCTTATGGCTTCGGCCTCGTAGGTTCAAATCCTGCAGTTGTCGTTTTTGACTTTTTGTTCGACTTCATTCCTCTGGAGTTATGCCACTTTTGTTTTTGTCATGCAATTGCCAGTCATGTCGTTCCTTTTTCCCACTCGAGCTGCATGGGTTTTTCCATTCTTTTTTACCTCCGGGGGATTTTCAATTGCTCTCGGAGTTTGCATGATCCCCATTGAACCCCCACTTGTGGAAATCTTACCGGACTTGTTGCGACAGAGCCCATTACAACTTCTCAAATCTATTGGACCAAGGAACTTTCAATTTCGGCGGCAAGATGTCCAAGTCTAAAGACGATAATACAGCATCGCAGGAGTTTACTTCCTACTATCTGCAGCAGTCTACCAAGGAATTCGCCGAGGATTTAGACAAGATACGGAGCGCCGACGACTTCAAGGCCGATGCTTTGCCCATGCTCGTCAAGTCGCTGCAACAGGGCACCTCGATGTTCTCACCCTCCGACCAGCGAAGAATTGTGGATGCGAAGAAAGCCAAGGATTCGGATGAGGTTATGTCAGAGGGAGATGCGAAAAGCTCATAGGTTAATCATAAGCAAGCATCTTCTTGAAAGCGGGACGGAGCAAGGATTTCGAGGTCCTCCGTAGATATTCATGACCGCCAGAGCTAGGTAGTGGTGTGGTATTCTTCGGCACGTTCACTGGCATTAGGGTAAGTGATTTTTGTCACCGATAAAATCTAACTATGATATTGGCTGGCTACCAATGACATGATGAAGCTGATTCAAAATACAGGATCGCGATACCTACCTACATCAAGCCTTGCTGGTGGTGCTATTGATACACAATGACGCAAGGAAGTTACAGCGCCACTACCTAATATGTAGATGTGGAAAAAAATGAACGAGCCAAACCTTTACATTCTCAGCTGTTCTATCGTCGAGAATGACGACACCCTGTGTCCAGACTGCCGTCTATTGTTTCGACTCTCAACAAATCGGTTCTTGATACAGGATGTTGCATTAGGGAGCATTTTTGAACTGATGGTACTGATGCTCGCTGACCTGCTGGTAGACGGGGGCTTTAGCTGTGTTGTGAATGCCGACCTCGCCGACTTCCCTCGAAGCGCTGCATGCCTCCTCCGTCACTCTAGGATAGACACTCTCTCTCGTAGGGATAACCATCCAATTATGAGCCTGGTCAGAGACTCTCGTGAGGACAAATCTTTCAGACGTAGGTAGACAGACCCATTCAACCTCTGCTGAACGCAAATAGACATTATGCCTGAAGCGATTCTAGCGTCGACGTCATATTTCTCGAAACTGCCTACAATACGAACCTCCCCTCGTCAAGCCGGAGCTGTACTGTAGATGTCGGACAACGAGATCCGAATGGGGCTCCTTGCATTCGCAATGGAGAGGAGACGGCATGGCGGCCTTCCCGATACGCCATTCTTCACGGGCCCATTCCCGCTTGCACGCAGCGCACTGTATACACTACAGCACGACATCTGGGAGTCTTATCTGCCTCTGGAAGAGTTCAGGCTCGGACGGGAGCAGATCGACGGTCGAGCGCCTGTACATTTCAGCTTCGAGTTCCCCCCGTGGACAGAGAACTCAGCGAGAAGAGCCCTGTCGACGAGAGTCAGTCCACTGGGTTATGCCCCGAAAGACGTAACGCCAGTTTGGCATGTATTCTACTTGAGCTCGGCTCCCGCTGGGAGGCGGTGGACAGACAACTATTGGGCTGCGCTTTTTAACCAGAGTAGTCTACGAGGTATCGAAGACGAGGCGGAAACGGCGCCTCTGAACGCCCGCGGATTGAGGATGGCCATCAACTCCAGGCGATGGGGAGCAAACTTAGCACCAGGAACTCCTTTATACTGGGTGACGGATATGAGGAATTTGGACATCTTGGCGTTTCTGCTATCTTTGGTTGAGTCAGCCCCTTCAACACCAGGGTCTCTCTGGAGTGAGTACATCGCAGGGCCGGGAATATGACTACTACATATGTCGAGTTTTGCTAAAGGTCAACCACGCTGGCATCCTGCATGAGTAACTAGTGTGCTCTCGAAAGACGCCCGGGTCATGTATCTCTCCTAGATCAACTAACAAGGCTTCTGGCCATCCTCTGTGGGGATTACGATCTTGATCTGCACGGCAATGCAGTTTACTAGGCTGTCAGTCAGGGCCATCACGACACGCTGGGGACGTGTTTGGAATAGCTGAACACCAACAAACGTAAGGTAGCAAGGGCTATCTGACCTCCCGGACGGCACAGCGGCGGTGGCTCGCTCTGCGCGGAGCGATATATGCTGACGATGATAATCTTCCCCCTACGATCTGTAACCAGGTAGCGGCTGATGAACGTGCTTTCTCTTGATGGAGAGGTCGCTCGACGGTGAGAGTATTCCGTATGAACTCGCATCCCGGCCCAAGTCTTACGGTCCTGCAAGGCTTCTCGATCAACTTCCGGGTCTTCCTGAAGCAAGTTATGATCTTCAGGCAATACACACCGGCTGCATACCCAAGTCGATCGACCAAGAGTCGCCCCCCCCCCCCCCCCCCCCCCCCCCCCCCCTTCCCCCTTTTCCCCTTTCCAAGATGGCCACGCGCGCAGCACTAACAATATATCGACCTTTTCGTCAGGTAAAAACATGTCTGAAGCCCCCCATAGCAATAGTCTGGGCTTTAACCACCATGCACGACACGCCTCAAACCATCGGGGCGTTCATTGCCCGCTATCGGAGGTATATAGGTAGGCAAAACAGGCGCTATCTATGATACGGTTATGGCCTGATCATGGCTCTGGAGGCTGTATTCGAGACGATCTTGATCAGCCGACATTAGAGGAAGGCCGAGGTTATCTTCTATCGAGTGCTCGAGAAGTTCTCGGAAGTCCATTCTCCGCATGTTTCCCTACTTGCCAGTCCGCAGGTCCCGGTGGCGTATCCCCGCCCGCCGTCGCACTATACTGCACTTCGCTGTCCATGCCAAATGGCCTGGTATTCTGACTGCCCTGCCCTGCTCAATCAAGAGGCGGGCGGGTTGATAGATGGCAAACGTAAAACGGCATTCGCCACTCCGCCTGACCGACCCATTGAACGCTCAAAAGAGCCCCCCCCGATGGCACCGAACGACATGAAAGATCTTTACACGAGACTAAGGTCTGCCTTCCCACCCGTAGAGCTCGCGGTGAGCCTACAGGGTCGACGCCGGGGTCCAAGCCCCAAGACCCCTGTTTCATTTTCGAAGAACGCAGGTGAAAGGAGGAGCCGTCTACCGCTGGTACAGAGGTTAACGAGCATGAAGCGGAGACGAATGATTTTGGGGGCCTGCATCATCATCATCGTGTTCTACAGTCTGATCATCTGCATCCTCGCGCCCCGGCCACTCTTCCTCTCTAGCTTGCCATCATCGCTGGACAGAGGGCCCTGATAGACGACGACACCGCTATCGGCGGAGACATTGAGACAGCCGTGTATCTATGTACGTGGACAAACAATGAGGTTCACGGCGTGAGACCCCGCATGAGAGAAATAAATATATGATTTCACTACAGGGTGGGGTCCCAGATGAGCAGGCATCGGGGAGGGAATGATGAGCTATTCTATTTATATGTGGCGGCCCAGATATCGAAGATGTTGCAAAAATGAGTCTTCTTTTCCAATGATAACGTCCTGGATCCTACCCTGAAAAAATAAAACAGATCGGTTGAAGACCTCGTTATAGCCAGACTGAGGAGTAACACATCTTCTGAGGGCTCGAAGGGAAGTGAATGGATCAGTTAGTACCTTGTCCTATGGCTGAGTCTTGCTGGCAGCTGGTGGGCGTGCGATATAGAAGGGGGGCAAGAAAAGGGGAGGATTGAAGCATTGAGTGGAAGCCATGTAGTCGTTATCATCACAGCAGACACGGTCTTTACCTCTGTATTGGATTGAATACCATGAAGCATTCTCAATCAAGAAGGAATTGGCCAGGCTCGCTTTATTAGATGCATTCTTCCGGTCAACAGAATCGGGCGTTCGAATGGCACGTGAAACCGGTACCAGTCGAGCCTGCCATGATTGCCTCTGTTCTACCAAGATGAGCGAGAGTGCACGCTGCACTCTGCGGTTTCGTTGGAGCTGGCTCTGTAGTAGAAATTCTACATTCGAGTAAGACCGAGGCGGCAGAGAGCGACGTGACCACTACACGACCAAATAACCCATGAGCAGAGTATCATAATGCTCTATGTACGACTCTCCAAGGAGGTGATGAGACTATTGACACGGCCCTGTTCCTTGTATAAAGGCCAGAAGATATCACCATACATCGTACCTGGACGTCGGTCTCCCAGGTCGCGCTGCTGATGTACATGATCAGGATAGGTGCTGTGACGGACGGTGACTACCTAGGTATGTATGCAGGACCTTCCTCCACCCAATGCGACGGCTATTGATGGGAGAGTTTCGTCAGGTCCATTTGTAGCAAAAAGCCAGAAAGAACTGAAGTGGACAGGTTTAGGTGCCTGGACTGAGAACCGATGGGTAACAATGAGCCGGCTTCAGACAGGCTGTTCGAGCCAAATCAATCCTGATGCTCACTGTAACTTGATCGCGACGTCGAATACAGATAACTGTAGATGCGGAGACAATATGGCCAAGTCAAAAAAAGGGGAACATCTATGTACGCCAAGTCTCTCTCTCTCTCCCTGACCAATATCCCCGACGACAAATCGCGGCCGATGTAGAAATAGTAAAGAGCGCGCCCCCGCCCTCCGCGTGATACGTGTGACTGCTGGTGGATGTTGATTGCCAACAAGAAAGATTGGCGAGGAAGGTTTCTTCAGATTGCGCGTCGGAGAGGTAAAGGGGCAGGCAGGTATGGCTAGGAGGCTTGTGATTGGCTAGCTATTTAGCCATAGTTTGCCCGCTTCTGTTCAGGGTATATAAAGGCAAATAACGCAAAACTTAACTTAGGAGTGGGATTGCATATGTGTACAAAACTCATGCCTTTTACCTGATTTTTCCATGCGCAACCCAACCAACTCCTTTATCTAATCTTTGGA